TAATCTATTCTGAGAAATACATCATATAGCAGTTTCTGACACAAATGATAATATGACGCAAACTTTCCACACAAAGGGGGTTGGAGGAGTTATGGCTGGGTGTTTATTGTGGAACTATTATCTAAAAGGGGCTGCATTGTTTTTATTCACATTTGTTCATTTGCTTGTATCCAATACAGCAAAGCCCCTGAGCCATCTCAGAGAACACTGGACAGGTTTCTAAAAAAATTATTTAACAACAACAAAAAAAGAATGGCATGGAAAAGGTTATTGAAGAGGATCAGGACCAACTGGAAAGACAGGATTCATATTTTTGATCTCAGTCAGTAAATTCTATATCTGGTGTGAGCTTAACATATGGTGGCAGTACACCCAATGTAAATATTTCTTGGCAAGAGTGTTTTGTAGCTTTCCAAATATTTCATCAAACACTCCTTTGGATTATGATATTGGCTACATTGATATTGCAGAAGGTTGTGATTTGATACATAGTTTTGCTTTACTTTAAAGCTACTTTTCTTTAAATTTTATACAAATGTTTCAAATATATTTCTTAAAGCTATCACTGTGTCGTGGCAGGACAACATAAAACAGATAATCTGTGAAAAACACTGAGCTCATCTGCCTCTTGCCTGTGGTCCTACTGCCATCTACAGAAATACATCGATCAGTCAGAAACAGCCACTGAGTAACATCACTGTCAATCAGACCCCCATAAAGAAGCTGCAGCTGTGCTAATGTCAGAGAAATAACTTGTGCTGGCCATGCTAAGCAGCCTGTGCATTCACAGCAGGCTCTGTTGTGAGGACGGAGCTGTGGCAAAGTATAGAGCACTGGCGAGGGTGTGAGCAGTGCATACATGAGCATATGTGACAGCTGTAAAACCCTCCTCCTGACTCTGATTGGTAATTTCTGACCAAGTAGTGAATTTCTGCAGATAGCAGTAGGACTACAGGACGGAGACAAAATGGAGCTAATTTTATTTATTTATTTTTTCACAGATTATCTGTCTCATACTATACTGTCATGACATGGTGACAATTTTAATAAATATGTAAGAAAGACGTTAGTAAAAGTTATGATATATGATCTGTAGCTTAGCTAGTAAGATACAGTCTACCTAAAAAGAGAGTTGTTAAAATTGCTTGATGAAATATAGTGCATTATTGGTGCTAAGAACTACAACTATATAAACAAATGGAATAGCTAGAGTACATTCACTACAAGACAAAACAGAAGGTAAATATTTCTTCATAGTGTTTTGTTTCCATGTATTGTACACACCAAAGCACATAAGCATCCTACACATTTGTTAAACAGGTTTAGTCATTTGCTCAGTGTGTTCTAGAGATGAAGTCAACGAGTGCATTGCCTCAGGCTTCAGCACACGAGTGAGGTCATCCCCAACCCCTTTACTCTGGCATTTGGCCTGTACTTAACATGTTTATACTGCACGATGGGGCCTCCTGCGGGGCATTGATCTCTCAATGGATCTCATCCCGAGGGTTACTCTGAAAACATTCAGCAGCTTGTCAATCAATCCTTTTTACATTGTCGTTCTATTAGATTTCTACCGGGATGTATGAGCAAAGAGGGGGGTTGGGGGGGAAACAAAAACAAAAACAAAAACATGTGACCTTAGTGAAGGGCATTTCATTTTAAGATGTTTACAGCATGCATCTGCATCAGTTGTCTTAAATTATGACAGCTGCATGATGCCAGATGTGAGTCTGTGCTTTTTTCTAGTTGTCCACCTTATTGTGTTGCAGCAGGATTCATTAGGGCATTAAAGTCGCTGCATAGAGGCTATCCTTAGGGAATGCATGCGAGTATTCAGAGCAGACTAGGCTCAGGTTGTCTCAGAGGACAGTTCTGCATTTCCAGCCTGGCAGCCCCCGGGGCGTCAACACAACCCAAATCACCCAAAAACAACCCCCTGTCCTTTCCCAAAGTAGGTAGATCTATTTTAAACATATTTTCCCTGTGCTTCTTTTTAATGTTGAAGCTATAAAGGGTCCAATTGTCTGGTAAGACGTAATTTTTTCAACAGATATTAATTCTATTCCTGCCTTTGTGTTTTTTTTATTTTTTGTTGTTGTTGTTGTTGTTTGTTTTGCTTTTTTAAGCAAATTTTAAAATACCTTAATTACTGAATGACACATTTCTGATGGCTGGATGCTGATGAAATTGCAGCAAGCTTAATTTTAAAGTGGTCCGACTGGTTTGGTTGTTGTTAGAACTGTCTGAGATGAGCCAGACTTGCATTCATGTGTCTGAAGCAATGTCTTTGTATTCAGGTACACTTCAGATTTCTCATTCATAAGATCATTTCTGATACGTCTGAAAAGTGTTATTTTGCTCTTTGACCAACTTTGTTTTATTAACGGTTCACATAAAAATATCCTCTTTCACAAAATAAGCCACCTTTTTCCTTTCTCTGTGTGTTTTGGGGAAGGGCCAATGTGGCGACCGAGATAGAAGTCAGCCTGACCTGCCAAGTAAGGAAGTCACACCGCCATCTTGACTGACTAGAGGAGCAAGCAGGCTTTGTAGATTAACAGAGAATTGTACTGATGATGTGCAGTCTTCACAAACAGCCACAAGTTTTAACTGGATAAAAAAGACTGGTGTTAATAGCTTTGAGACAATTTCAGAAGGTGAAATATATAATATAAATTTGATGTATTGCCCAGTCACCAACTGCATCGCTACATTGAGTTTGCCCACCCTTATTGTTCTAGAAATAATATTGTGTGGGGAGATTGCAGTATGACATTTATGATGGAAATGTTTTGTGAAAGAGCCTATTGTTTATGCAGTTCCAAAGGTCTTGCCATATAGCCTATTTTTTTCCAAAAAGGTGGCATCCAGATTCACAAATTTATTTTTGTCAGCCAATTACTTTGAATATCAACAAGTCCATTTGATACATTATTATTATTGTTTTTCACAGAGGGTGGGAGGATAATGAGTTAGGGGAGACAATTATGTGAAAAAAGTCCTAGTCATGGGACATCATAACATCTGAAGTCATTGCCAACACTGTATTTTACCTTTTATGACCCTAAAAAACTGTTTTTTTAGAAAATGAGCAGAATCCATTTCTTTGACATTGACTGTATGATGTGGAATAGCTCTCACAACACCCCAATTCCACTTCTGCATTTAATTTTTTTGTTTATCAGATTTGACATAAGCAGTTTAGAAATTACATTTTGCTGTAAAAAAAAAAAAAAAAAAAAAATTAAAAATTAAAAAAATCATAACTTTTTACTTCCTGTCTGTCTCCTACATTGTATACTGGAGTTATCACAGTCATTTGAGGACATGCACTTTTATGCTTTACTTCTTTCAATTATATGTCATGGAAAGAGCTAAATTGTCCTTTTGAACTGCTAAGCTATAAAACGTTAAAATATTGTGTCACTCTAAAGCAGAGTTGTAATAACATCAAATAATGCTTGATGTTATTCTGGGGTGTGCTGTTCTCTTGAAATGCACAGGTCGCTTTCTTCATCAGTTTTATTGTTTACTATTATGGAGGTCATTGTTCTTTCTGCAAAGCAGCACATTGTTAAGTCTATATAGTGCTACTATTTATGTCACACAAATTTATCTAGCACATTTGGGCTGAGTAAAAAGATGCAGCTGGAATTAGATTTATTTACATGTCTGCAATGGTTTCATTTTCTGTGAATATACAAATGCCTTTCAACATCAGTTGAGTCTTCAGGGGAAACAATCTGGATTTGCCCTTGCATGTTAGACAAAGCTTCCCTCAAATCAATGAACAGACCAAGCAAAACATAAATTATTCTCACATTAGTCAGATTAATGAGCTGTCCAAGAAATAAGGGCTTAAAAATCTGCTGGAGATGAATTGCGAAATTTCACTGACTGCCATTGGTCACACATATCAAAGGCCCAATTACTTTTGGCTGATTGTCTCACCGGCCTCTGTGAAAATTAGCCGACTAATTAAAGCACTCATGGTGCTTAACTTTAAAGTTCTGTAGCCTGGAGATCAGCAGCCATTAAAATGGGTAGCTGTGTTATTATTGATTCCTAATAGCGCCAAAGCCCAGCACACTTAAAAAAAAACAAAAAAAAAAAACATTAAGCTGAGTTCTTGGCTGGCCCAGTGCCACTGATCAATGCCATGTTACATCCAAAAAGGGAGAGATTCAAAATCAAAGCTGTCGCTATAGCAACGCCCCTGCCTGATTCCACCAATCAATGGAGTCCGCGGGGTTGTGAGAGATGCGCCAGGGGAAAGGCCAGCGTCCTACATAAAGAGTGCAGGACAGGGAGCTGGGCAACACACCAGGCAGCACACCTTTTTGCGCAGATTCAGCCGGTAGGAGAGTGGCGCCGAGAAAGAGAGGAGAGGGGAAAGGACAAAGAAGCAGAGGCAGTGAATAACTAGAAAGAGATGGAGCGCTCATATGAACACAAGACTCCTTGCTGGGTTTATGTAGGCACTCTGCTCTTCTTCTTCCACTTCCACTCAGTCACTGTCAGCGGAGGTAAGATCACAAATGGTTTTAGTGGTTTGCTGTCACTTGAACAAAAATATAATAGCAATTTCTTGCATTGTTGAGGACGGTGAATTGTTCTATTTCAGTCCCGCTTCCCCCATGCTGTTACTGGGTAGGGGGGCACAGCATGAGTGTGCGGCTTGATGGATAATTATTTATGCAGCTCATTCTGTTCTCATCTGTGTGCCTGGAAAGAAAATCCAAGTTCATTTGTCACCTGGCATTAAAACAATAAAAGACACTTTGCAGGCTGTACTTGCTTGTCTGGGGAAATCATTTTTGACAGAGACTGCTGCAGGTCATACTACACAGCTTTCAGATTAGTTTTAATGAGTAATTTATGGATGAGCATGAATCAAATTACATCGTCTCTTTCCTGCCTAAGTGAAAGAAGCAGAGCAATATTCATCAATAAGTTTGCATGTGTGGGTGTGCCTACTGTGAAGATTTCACGTTTTTCTCAGAGAAAGTGAAAATAGTTTATTACATAACAGATGAAATGTGCTGTGTGCGCCTAATACAATGCCTTCAGTTAGTTTTCAGAGGGCCAGACTGTCACAAACATTTGACGGCGAACATCCTCACACCATGTCATGCTCATTTTGCATAAAGGAGAGAGGAGACTTTGAAGTTGGGGTTCTTGATTGTAGTGGGACATCGGGAACTCTAAAGGGAGTCAAATGTGCCACCCCTATGTCTCGTTAAACGTCCAGCAGGAGACAAACAAGGCTGCTCAAATGGAAACTTCACTGACTCTTTCATGTGGGATTCTCCACAGCTTTTTCTTGTGATCCAAGGCAGGCTATAGAACCAGCCATCTGCAAAGGGGCTGCAAACTCGGCGTTCTTCTTGACTGTGCACCTGGCATCTGAGGTTTTCTGAGTCAGCCACCTGGCTTCTTGTTCCGTTTTTCAATTAACTAGGAGCGTGTGAAGAAAAGCATGTGTAAGCCCGATCTTTCCTTGGCAGATACCATCAGCTGTGGCTCAGCTGAGGAATTAGGATGTGCTTTTCCAATTATTGCTGTGCCAGTTATGAAGGTTCAACAGAAAGATGTGCATAATCCACTAAAGCAGTACTGTTAAGTGCAAAATGTACATCCAAATTTAGAATGGAATGAGCCTGGATGTAAACTAAACAACACCCTACCGATATCCCCCTTTTCTTGCACAGCTCCCCTGAAGCAAGAGGCAGCACTGGACAACGGTGCCACAGTGCTGAATCACTCCATGCATTTGGTGCATCGCATGGAGAACTTGCTGACCTTGGGAAACAGTAGTGATGTTAGCCTGCGGGTGCAAACCATGAACACTGATGAGGTGAAGGTGATCCAAGCCCATAGTCTGGTCCTTACCCTGCAGAGCGACGTGTTTGAGGAGCTGTTGCTCAGCCGGAACAACAGTGCGCTGGTGTTAATTGAAACACCAGAGTGTGCAGCTGTCTTTGACAAGTTTGTCAGGTAAGGATCGACTTAGTACCTGGGCTTCTGAAGTGCAGAGGCCCAGGTACTAGGCCTCTGCTAACAGTCAGGTTAGACTTTGTGGATCATTTTTATTTTAGCAGTAAAATGTGTAGTTGTGGTATAGTAACCTTTTGAATTATGGGACAGATAAATCTATTAATAAAATCAAACTAGAAAGAATTACTCAATGTAATTTACTCCTTTGCAAGATGGGTTATATTACAGTACCTATGTATTAGTAGTTTTATGGTACTGTGCGTTTTACTTTTACTAGCATAATATTATTATTATCACTACTCTTACCTGAGTAAACTTTCTGGATACTTTACTAACTGCAAGTAACTTCACTAATTTAAGAATACATAGGTTAATCTAATGTTATTTTCCATCTGCTGAGGCTGTTGAGTGATCTAGTAATTAAACAAATACAAAGCATGATGACAAAGCACTATATATTGCCATTGGAAGCACTTTATCCTCTTAAAACATAAATATACACACATTAGTTACTGTACAATACCTACCGTGTAAAATGTGTTTTATACGCTTAAAATGTATTTTTTAGTGATATTATGTATTGTCTGTAGTTATAAATTTCAGAAACTGTTTAGTTGTGTGCTTACAAAAACTTTTTCAGTTAAATTCTCCACAATTATTGGAGAGGAAGAATGTTTTATCTTAATGAGAATCCTAAAATTAACGTTTCGGGTTGGGTTTCATTCAGTGACACAGATGTCAGAAAGAAAAGTTTCCTATAATACAGTGTGCTTTACAGAAACAGTTTCTGTCTAACAGTACTTTCAAAAATATGTCTTTTTTCAGATATTTGTACTGCGGTGACATCTCACTCCGGCTCGATCAAGCCATATCCCTGCATAAGTTGGCAAGCAAGTACCGTGTGTGGGGCTTGCAGCAAGGCCTGACCCAATATATGACTCAACATCTTTCCAGTGATTCGCCCACAGGCCACGTGATTAGCTGGTACAACTATGCGCTACAAATTGGGGACGCAACCCTGCGGGACAGCTGTCTGCAGTACCTGTCCTGGAATCTGTCCTCTGTGCTGCAGAGTGGAGAATGGGGCTCCATCAGTGAAGACCTGCTCCTGTCCTTGCTCCAGCGCTCCGACCTCATTCTGCAGAGTGAGCTGGAGCTCTATGAGGCGCTGGAGTCCTGGATCAACCAGAACCAGCCAGTCAGCTCAACAATAGAGACTGCCCTGAGAGCTGTTCGGTACGGCATGATCCCTCCTCAACATCTCTTCCGTCTTCAGAGGCATTCACCCCTCATGGTGAAGTATTATGAGGCCATCCGTGATCTCCTCTATCTAGCTTTCCAGTTCCACTCTGCATCACCGATTCAACTAGCCAAGTACTTTGACGTCAACTGCAGTATCTTCACTCCCCGTAACTACTTGTCCTCATCTTGGGGTTCTCCTTGGATCATCAACAATCCCACCCGTGACGACCGTAGTTTCAGCTTCCAGACCCAACTTGGGCCCAGCGGCCATGACTCCAGCAAGAGAGTAACGTGGAATGCCCTGTTCTCCCCTCGCTGGCTCCCACTCAGTGCCAGGTCTACCTACACTGAGCTGGGCGCCATGCAGCCCACTCGCACAGAGGGAGGTCGACCTCGCATCATCGTAACGCCGGCCACCTCCAGCCCCGACTTTGCTGGAGTGAGTTTCCAGAAAACGGTCATTGTGATGGCCAAGCAACAAGGAAAAGTGATTGTCCGCCATGTGTACAACTTTCACCAAAGTACAGAGGAGGCTGGGGATTTCTTAGTGGATGCTGACCTGCAACGCCGTGCATCAGAGTACCTAATTGACAGCTCCCTCTATCTGCACGTTGTGATCAAACCTCTCTACCATAGCTTGCTTGTTGCCAGGAAATAAAAACAGGAATTTTTTTTGTGATCTCACCCAACCCTGATCTGCCCACACAATCACATGCACATGTTCCAAAGCACACTCATATCACAGTATGTGTATGTGTCAGCTCCATAAATTCACACTGTAACATTGTTTCATTCTTTTGTCTTCCAGTTGAATAGCAAAAAGTTAAAAGTTAAGCTGCAATACAAACTGTCATTATCACCGTTATTATTAAGAGCAACATGGAACATAGGTTGTTGTATTTCTTGAGGTATTTCAGTAAGTAATAGTTTTTCCTTGAATTAATGAATCTGTGTGATGTTTGAATAGGCCATATACGGTATGTATTTTGCTTTGAAAAAACAAAATAACATTCACTGTTACATTTATGGATTTTTATTTTCTTTGCTGTCAAATATAGATTTGTAGTTCATGGCAGATATATTGTACATTAATTTATGCTCCACTTTGAATTTTAGATATCAAAATGTTTTCTAGGGTTTTAATGTGATCTAGTTTGTCTTAAAAGACTGAAAATGTATGATTGCTGAACAGACTTTTTTTTCCCTTTCACATTACTTGTTGACTTAGTTACTTTGCATTTTTAACATGTGTTTTCTTTAGTTTTTTGAAAACCCAAGCAGTATGTGATAATGAAAGAAAAATAAAAAAGGTATATAGCCTCATAAAGGACAATAAAATGTTAAATTCTAGATGTTGATCTGTCTTTTAAAGTAAGACTTAGTAAGGGCAAAAATATTTGACTTATTTTAAATGCCATTATTTTGTTTTTCTCTTTTGTAAATCAAAAAATAAATAAAAGTTTTGTTTGTTGATAGAAATTGTTTCTAGATAACTCTTTTTGTCATGATTTTTTTTCTCCTTCTTAAACTCTATGGGTTGGTTGAACAGTTAACAAGTGTACTACCACATTCATATTTACCAATTACATCTTTCCGTATTACTGCTACAAAATATGTTTTAAGAGTAAGCCTTTATTCATTTGTTTATGTATATTTAAAATTTTTTCCAAAGTAAAACGTAAAGTTAAAAAAAGAGACAAAACAATTGTCATAGAGGTTCAGTTTTGTTTTTTCAGCAAACCACCTGTAAGTACAGCTGATATACTAAAGTAATAATTTGTGAGACAAACCAGTTCATCTTTAAAAATACTAATTTAAAAATGTTATTATTTGTGGGGTAAAGTATGTTGTAGCTGAATAGATTAATGACCCTATACAGGGTCTGTTAAAAGTTTTATATTCACCCTCCAGTTTCAAAACTCGAGGTTGGTTATTTTACAGCACGGAAACTTCACCTCCCATGAGGCGTAGCACCTGACAGGAAAGACGTCATCACGTCGTTGGAACCCTCAGCTGTCAGACTTTGGCCACCCCGGCGAAGGTTTTGTTAGCAAACTAAGTCGAACTGCTCAGCTTTTTCAAAGTTTAAAGTTGTGCACCTTGCTGCTAGTCGTTCTTTGAGCAAGTTATTGGCGCACTAGACTTGCACTAAGGCAAATTGCCTTCTTTTTTTTTTTTTTTTTTTTTTTTTTAATCGCTGCTAGATCTTTGCACCCTCGAAGCAGCGTTCCAGAGCGGGTACAAGAGTAGATGCAGGGAGGGAGGGAGTAGAGAAAAAGGCAAAAGTCTTTGTGCTTCCCTTCCCCCTCATCAAAGCAAAGGGGAAATGTCTCTATCTAAAGCAGGTAAGGCTCTTTTTTGTATTGTTTTGCAAGCAGCTGCGCGTATTTTTGTCCTCCGCCTTGCTGGAAGAGGAGGAAGAACTTTAGCTAGCTTTGTGTAATGTAACCTTGCCAGGTGGAAGGCTAGCTAGCCAACATGTCTTTCCTGCTTTCTTTTTTTAATCAGTACACAAAGTCTTCAGATATCCTGCTGCTAAATGTTACCAATGTTTGCTATCCCTGACTTGTTAATGGATAGTTTTATTATTTGTCTGGCTAAAGTTGCTCTGTTGAAGTTAGCTAAATATCATAGAGTGTTTTGTTCAACTTGAAATGTGAAGCAAATTTAGCTGGAAATCTCTACGCTCTCTCTTTGATGCTTAGTAGGACCACAGGTGTTTTTGTGCTTTTTTTTGCACATTTTGTTCGGCGTACATATATTTTAGCCTCGTGTTTATGAAGGAGCAACTTTTATTTTTATTTTTTCTTCATTCACGGTAATCTGGAATCAATGAGAAAAATAAGCAAACAAACAAACAAGCAAAAAAGAAAGAAACCACTCCTTGGAAAAAGAATCAAGGCTCTTCCTCTGCGTCACACATAGCGTGATTGTAATGATGTCAATTTACATTTCAAGTTCAGCGCTCGTGCTGTTACACAATCATAGCAGCGTTTCCATGGTGGGCTGCACGCGCTGGGCGCCGCTCAAGCAGTCAAAGCGGCCTGCCGTGGCAGGTTTAGGCTTGCAGCACCAATACCAAACGTTGTTTCCCTACTTGTTGATAGTTGACTGGCTGTAAGCACTCTGATCGTCACACGGGTTCTGCTGCTGTCTTTACTGTGCATTTTCTGCGTGTTTAAGAGTGTTTAGTTTCATTCAGACTTTTTTCTTTTCTTTTTGAGAGCCTTGAGATCTGGTAGTGCTGAGGCATGCTTAGAGATTGGGTTCTCCCGAACAGTCCTGATAGGGTGGTGTGGAAGATTATCTGCGCATGAGTCATCACTGTCTGTATATGGACCTGCTCTAAGGCTGGTGCTTCCTGATGGTGACTCGCCTCACAGCTATTGACACTTTGATCCCATGTACAATCCAGAAATTCTTGCTCACATTACGTATGTATTTTGGGTATTTTCCACTGAGCATTTAGTAAACTCAGAAGAATGCACACTCTTGTCCATACAACTCCCTATGTTTACTGAGAATTTCAAAAAATTATAAGTCAGCTGTTTTTTTTTTTTTTTTTTTTAACCCACCCCCCCCCTACATCCTGCAAGGAACTACCGTTACTCAGATCCCTTTTTTTGGAAAATGATTATTTGCTGTCATGTGTTGAGTTGGTTGATCAACTTACCACAGCTGTTGCTGATGTCATGCGACCATTGTATCTGGTGAGTAGAGACGAGCCTGTTCCTATTCAGTATTAGCATGAGATCAGATGGGAATAGTATTTAGGCTCAGGTTACGGTGGACAATATAGCAAATATATATCACTTTAAGAAAAAAACAAACTTAAAGCACATCAGTAGTTGTAGTCATTCATGTGTCACTCTTTACCAGTCAGTATACTCAATGTCTTTTGCATTACCTACCTGTCAGGTATAAATTACAGTCTGCAGCCTGAACACACAATGCACCCAGCATTCATTCTTTTTTTTTTATGAGCAGATCAGATACTGCTCATAAGTGTGCCATGAGTATCTCAATGACTTTTTAATTTGATTAATTAAATGAAAAGGTCATTTCACAACTTTGATGAAACATTCAAAAGCAAACCTCTTAAGAATTGAACAAGTATTAGAAAAAACTAATAAATTACATCATTGACACAGTAACTAAAGTAAGATAATTCTGAAACCTCCAGGAGAGTAGGAAATGGACAAGTGGCTGTAGTTGTTGCATTTACATATGAAATTCTATATGAAGTTCAGAGAGCTTCTTAGTGTTTTCTGGGCCAATGCCTGAAAAAAGAGATAAACTACTGTTGTTTTTTGGGGGGTTTTTGCTGCCCTGCCAAAAATAGATTGTTGCCATGCCTGCTGTCCAATACTTGTGATAAAGTAGTGACAAGTCAAGCAGACAAAACAGAACAATTCAGCAACATCTAGCTAATTGTTTACTTCCTTTCCATTAGCTGCTGGGTGAGAGGACTTGTAGTGAAGACAAAAAAGATCTTGAAAAGCAAAGCCTTCCTTGTGTCGGTTTTAATACCAAAAGTAGAGCTGCACAAGGAACTTTCAGTGCCATATGGTGGTTAAAATTTCATGCTGTACTTTTAGTGCCATCTACTTGCATCTGCATCTATACAATCACTGAACAACCGTATCCTACTTCAGAGCTCCATTTACATGAATTAATTACTGCATCAGTGCAGCGTGGCATGGACATAATCAGTGGCCCAACACCAGCAGCTGTCATGGCACAATTCTTCATATTTCCTAATGAAGAAAAGATGGCTTTAGCCAACTGAACAACAGTCCAGTTGTTTGTCTCTTTAGCCCAGATTAGAGGCTTCTGACATCTGTGGTTCAGGACTAGCTTGACACAACTGATGCTACATTTGTAGCCATGTGAAGGATTTGTCTATTTATAGCATCTCTTAAAGCACTGGCTCTGGTCTCAGTCCTCTCCTCCCTCAAATTTCTGAATAAATTTTACTAAATGATTATGTGAAGTCTGTTTTCATCCCTGTTGGTGGTGCACCTTTTGTGTCACACATTTTCTTGCACAGTGAATGTGTTTTTTATATGAATATATTTTCACACATAAGTCTATAAAAAAACAGCTTCTTTATCAATGACTATTTGTAACTTATCCTCCTTGAAGAGGGTGTTGATGACTGTCTTCTGTCAATGATTGTGAAACCTGCTGTACTTGTGAGTTTTTACACATACAAGCCATAGTCATGAGACTTACAAGAAATAAAATCTTGGAATTTTCAGTGAATAATAAATCTATATTTCATACTTTGCATATTTTTAATTTGACCAGCTGGATGGACTGACATAAATGTCTGCATCAGTGCTGAAAAGCTGAAGCGCTAGGACTGTAGAGGGGATAACTTGTAATGGCGAGGAAAGAAAAGTGTCAAAAGTATTAATATTCATTTGGGCTGCATGATGAATTTGTCTGCATCGCTGTCTTGCATACAGAAGATCTTGGGTTTGAATCTAGCAGGGCCTTTTTGCATGGAGTTTGCATGTTCTCTTACATGCATGGGTTGTTCTGGGTCTTAGGCTTCCTCCCACAGTCCAAGGACATCCATATGAGATTGTGTGGTCCCATCAAATTGCCTTTAGGTTCGAGTTGGTGTGTGATTGGTTGTTTGTTGTGTGTATGAGCGTTGCCATGTCCTGTGACTGGTGACCACTGGAAATTCACCCTTCTCTGCAAACCCTAGAATGAGTTCAGGCCCTGAAACTGTCTCTTGTCGTCCCCTCTAACATTACATATTAACTATGAGTACAATAAATTATTAGGTTAATTAACTTTAAATTATATTTTTTATAATCCTTGTCTGTCATAAATTTAGATGTTGATGATCATACAATCTTAACAAAGTCTTAATTTAACTGACTGAAACTTGCAGAAATCCTTTAGGTAGCATTGCTCTGTACTTCTGAAGGTTTTTTTTTTTTTGATAAATTTTTTGCTGTTTTAATTTTTGGCCTTCATCCAAAAAAGTGTTGCAAAATCTCTGTGATACAACTAACATCAGGGAAGAACAATGTGGTCTGCAGATTTATCCAAAGCATTCTTTGTATTTGTGATTATGATTAAACTGACCATTTCCAAATGATTAAAAAACATTGCTGCATTTTAGCTATAAATTTGCAACTGCATCCATCTAAAACCCTCATAGTAACAAATTCTACTCTAAAAATAAAACATTTCCATTACCAGCAAAGGCATCTTACTGCGACCGTTACACTCAGTACTGCAACTGTGCTGCTGAAAAGGATCCAATAATTGCATTCGATCAAATTTCAAATTGTAAATGCATCATTGATGAGTAACAGACTAATTGTGGAAAAATATTTTGGACATCCAAGGTAACAATTCTATAAATTCTCATGTCGGTATCTCACCCCTCCCACCACAATAACAATAAACAATACAGCTATAGCCAATTTCTTTTGTCAGCTGATTTACAATTCAAGCATACACTTGGAGCTTGTTGCAGAAAAGCTGCTGTCTTTGGATCATCTACAAGCTGCTGATACTCACTGCAAGAACACCAATACTAAAAGCATTTGTCAGATTTTTAAATCAAGAGATTTGAGTCAGATCTGAACTCAAAAATGCTTGATTGGAGCATCTCTAACTGTGTGGCTCGGTTTTAGAGAGCTGAGTTCTTCCAGCAGAAAACTGCAGTGAGCTTGGCCTCAGTTTGCCCCTATAGGACTGCATGCAAGCCAAGTGAAGTGACATAATTTTCTCCAAAGGGTCCTGACAGTTGTTTTGAGCGGATGTCCATTTGAATCGGCTGTTAGTCATATCCCTATCCACAGCTTCGGCTGACTGTTTCCTCGACACGCCTGGTGCTGAGGTTGCTGCCTTAGAAGAGATACTGTTTCTAGGCCATTAATATTTTACAGTAGGCAAGTAGGTATTTAGAGTTTATAGTAAATGCATTGAAACATTTAGTAGTCTTGTGGAAAAAAGTTATCAAAATCCTCGCCATATCTTCATAGTATTTTAATTTTGAATTGCATGTGCAAAAATCCGTTTGTTGTTCAGGTCTTCTGGAGCCTTTGACTGCTCTTGCTTTAATCCCACACAGAGGAAATGTAAAATCTATTTTTGCCTAAGCATGTGTGAGTAAATAACACTCTCTCTCTCTCTCTTTCTCTCTTCCAAATGAAACTTACCATAGTCTGTCCGGACACTGTGTACTTATTTTAGGCTTCCAACACAAAACGGATGTGTCTAGGTTTCATTGGTGGTTTGAGATATCTAGAATCTGTGAAAAGAAAAAAAATCACTTCCCTTCCAGCTTATTGTAGTAAGCAGGGGTTTACCCACACATACTTCCTCCAAAGCAATGTGCTGTCACTTAGTCAATGGGAAATGCAGTTCTACAATAATCACAATTACAGTTGTTTGACTTTAGACGGCATGTCCTAAATGTAAAGCTTCATGCTTTTCTGAGAAGAAATGCACACTCTTATCAAGCGTGTGTGTGTGTGTGTAGCAATGAGCCTGGTTTAATTTTTTTTTTTTTTTTTTTTTTTTTTTTTTTAATGGAACTTTTTTTTTAAAATGATGCATTCTTTCAAATTTTCCCCTTTGGGGAGAAACCACAA